TAAACTTCTGCTTTTGTTTTAAGCGGTTAGTAATCCCTATAGCTCAATGTCATTTAATTAAAAGATTTAAAATTATGTCAAAGGTAAAATACTAGAGTGTGTGTGTGTGTGTGTGTGTGTGTGTGTGTGTGTGTGTGTTTTGTTTTTGTTTTGGCTAATCATTTTAGGATTTTCCTTTGAATTATGTCTCAAATTTGACTGACAAGAAGTTCATGTACGAAAACAGAAAATTAAGTTATTCTACATCTATCTTTTAGAATCAAATTATCTGCTTAATAATTTGAATACTGCCAGGGCAAAGTGGCCCTAGATCTTTGCTGTGTCAGTGCTCCTCCCTCATTTCCATGCATGGGCAGAAAGAAAGGTATTGTTTTTTCCTCCATGCTGTGACATGGTAGCAGCCTGCCATCAACACAGATGGAATCCTTCTTGGACTGCGGAGTCTCTGGGCTTGAGGTCTCCTAACAGTCTAATTATCCCAAAACTTCTTATCTGGTCTTTCTTCCATGTCTTTGGATCCTTTCCTTCCCTATCCCTCTCTCCCAAATAAAAAATCACCCTTACTTTACTTTGATTTTAAAACTACCAGTCATGTAAGATGCTTTGATGTGAAGAAAGGACTCAAATAAAACCATTCAAACCATGGCAGTTGATCTTACTCCAAAAAAAAAAAAAAAAAAAAAAGACTTTTAAAAGTCACTCTGCAGAGCCATAGAGAACTGGCTGCCAGGTTTGCACCCAGCGATAATCACTGGTTCTATTGAAATACAAAAAAAAAGGAAGTCTTTTCATGTAAAATGCTTAGATGTAAATATTTTAAGTGTTTTATTTTTTTGTGAACCCAGTAAGACTGGCTTATAAGTCTGGATCGTTTGGTGTTACTTCTCTTTTAATTAGTAGTATACCCAGTTATTTTAGCAGGAAATCAATATTTATAATAATACCTTACATTTCACTTAACAGAGTAAATCTTATTATCCTCATTTTGTAAATAACAATTTCCCATGTAAAGGGTTAAAGGTCACTCAACTCTCTTTACAAATGGGAAAGCCCAAAGGCATTGACTCACCAACTGCAAAATCGAATGAGAAAGACAAGTGTCCAGTTGTACAGGTATGTAATTTATTATTCATGCCCAAGACCAGTGTCCCAGTATGGGTTGGTCAGCAGTCAGGATGTTTAGACTAGCTTACCAGGCTGAATTTTTGTTTTATTGACATTTATTCAGTGATAATACCTAATTCTTTATATATCCCTTATTCACTCTGGTAGAGTTTGCTGTGGCAAGGGGCCTCGGATTTACATTTGTACTTCTCAAACTATCTGTGAGGCAAGATCAGTTTCCCCCAATCAGTCTTGAGTTAAATAAAATAGAAATAAGTTACTAAAAATAATCATAGCTTTAGATGTTGCAGCAGTATCAAATTGTCCTAAAGGATTCCAAATGGTTAATCTCAATTATTTGCAGGCTGGTTTACAAAAGGGGGTGTAGGGCGATTCAGGGGGGCACTGGTCCTTTCTGAATAGCATATGACCACGCGTGGAAATTCTGGCCTTCCCTGAGAAGTCCTAAGCCACTGTTGGAGCACACTGCACCAGACCATGCTTATTTCTGTCACAAACAGAAAAAAGAACCAGGGCTTCCCTTCTTTCTCTTTGATGATTTCTAGCCCCCGTCAACCCATTTATCCAAGGATAGCGCTAAAACTGGTAGCCACGCCTGGCATAGCTCTTACAGACCCATTATGCTGCTAAGAAACTCAGCTTTGCTTCTTGCTGCAGTTTCACCTCTTAGGAACATGATAGCATTAGATCATCTTGGTCAACTATGAACTATACTTTCTTTGGAAAGAACTTCAGCGGCATGTCATCTAGCCTGTATTCAGGCCAGTGGCCTCTCGGGGGGACTCTTGTTGGACTGTCTAATGTAGATATTCGTCCTGTTCCCACACACATTTGTTTACAATGGTGTCGTGTGGGCCTTTGTGTCAGTATAAACTGCTTGCTTCTCTTACCTCTGTAAACGAAGCGTCTCTTTTATCACTCAGGCTACCAACAAAGTTCTGAGTCTTGCTTACCTGGACCTCTGCCACCAGAAGTAAGTAGTTTAGCAGAGGCAGCTACTCTGGACTACAAGAGACAGTGAAAGGCAGCAGTCTCAGCAATAGCAGCAGGCATCCTGGCAGACCAGGAGAACAGAGACCATATGGGACTGCTAGGCGTGCTGGGTGAGAGAGAAGGAGGGGGATGGACAGGAGATGCCTCAGGTGGGTTTGATCAGTTGCTATGGTTTCTAAGGCCAGTGTTAATACCAGCGGCTGGCAGCTGTGTCAGTACGTTATCGGCATGCAGAGTTGGGTGCAGGCTTCCTGGGAAGACCTTGAGGAAGAAATGACTGTACGCTGCTCACGGTTGGTTTCAGCCTGAGAAACAACCCATCGTGAAAGGCTCAGATAAAAGAACAATCAAGGGAGTAGATGTGATGGGAAGGGGAAAACGGAGTAGAAGAGGGTGTTGCTGTGCTCTGGAGACCAGCACTGTTCAGGGGAAGCTCTCTGCCTTCTCATCGCACACTGAGTGTGCTCCTCTGGGAAGTGGCGTCATTGTGCTCAGTCACTGTGCTCAGGGAACTGGGAGTCTGAATTTCTGGGTGCAAGTCCTGGACCCCAAGTTAGCATCTTGGCAACCTTAACAAGCCTTCTCACCTTTCTTCGCCTCTGGTTTCTCATCCGTTAAACATTCACTAAGCTCTGGAAGCTGTCAGGAGGTTCAAATGAGATAATCTATACAAAAGTCACAATTTAAAATTTCTACAACACCAACCCTTTTCCTTCCTTACCATTTTCTCTTGCCCCCAAGAAGACCAGTCTAAGGCAGACCAATTTCTATGAATGATACTTTAAAAAAGAATGTCTAATTCAGGACTCCCCGATCATCCAGATCACGATGTACCCACATTATTATATTGACTATTCTGAGCATATAGCTGCAAGAAAACATTTGACCTGAAGGCTGGCTTTATCTACAGGATGACCAAGGGACATCTGTGTTTGAAAATTCATAAGAATGGACACCCAAGGGCACATACCTACACATACACTGTATGTAAAATAATAGAATGCTAGGAGTCAGCCTTATAAGGAATAGCCTATAGTTATCACAGCTTCCTTTTTAAGTTACTTAAGTAGATGACAAATTTCTCCTTATAATCAAACTGGTTATCATGGTTCAAACCATATGATTGTGGTCCAGAGAGAATTTTATATCGCAAGGCTGAATAGAACTACCAATGAAAGGAAATAACTTTCTATTGTAAAAGCAGTACAATTCCCTTTATCCTGCTTCCCTTAATCTAATATCTAACACGAGCATAGTAAAATTGTTGAAGCCAAGAACTTAAGATTGATACCATACTATTAACTAATCTAGAGACCCTGTTCAAATTTTCTTGTTTTCCCACTAATGTCCTTTTTCTGGTCTCGGATTTCACATTGTGTTTCTCTCTTTATCTTAAAAAAAAAAAAAAAAGTCTTTCCTAACTTTACCCTTGGAAGAATACTACCCACTGTTGCATAGAGTGCTCTTTAATTTTGGTTTATCTGGTGTTTTCTCATGATTCAATTTAGGTTATAAATTTTTTTACAAGAAAACCACAAAAGAAATGACATGTCCTTCTCAGTGGATAGAGCGGAACGTACATGATGACATGCATCACGGGTAATGTTAGCTTTGGTCACTTAGTTAAGATGGTGTCTGTTAGGTTTCTCCATCATAAACTTGGGGTTTTTCTCTTTGTAATTAGTAAGTATCTTTTTTGTTGTTGCTTTCTTAATTAATGGCTAAGGTTGGAGCAAGTGTCATTCAGAAAAGGTTGCAGAGTGTCCCGTCCTGATGGAAAGAAGCTGTGCCCTAGAAAACGATGGAGTCATTATTTAAGTGTTTGAATAGATTTCTCTCAATCCATGCTGAAGCGGATTGCCTGACACTACATTGCAGGATTTTTAAGTTCTACCTCCAGGCAAATCTCATAGTTACTAGCAAAAATGAAAGTGTGAAATGCTTTTTAATGTATATTTAACAACACATAGTCTGGTGATTACTGATGTGTATTCTCCGTGGACTCCCTTTGCTATCAGAGGAGGATGTTAAGAGACAACATTTTTACACATTTATTCTATCTAAATCCATCACAGGTTTACTTTCCAAATATCTGTAACTGTCATTTATAACAAGAGCATAAAAATCAAATACTTTAATATTAACTCAAACTTTGAATCATAGGATTTCAATCAATTTTCTGGATAAGTACAGTTACTGTTTTTTTCTTCTAACTCTACTTATGAAATTGCTCACTATTAAATGGCTCTAGAATGCAGCTATTAAAAAAAAGAAAAATGTATATGGCTTAGTAATGGGGGGGAAGTAATGTGACTTTATTCATCTTTTTTATTTAGAAATTCACATAATAGCTCTTATTTAAAGGAATTTTCACCGTTGAATCCAGTGTCATGTCTGCGTGTGTTGAAGAAATAAAATTCACAAAATGTATTTAATTTCTTCCTACAGTGTCATTATTTAATAAGGATTAAGGTACCATGTTTTTGTTTTTTGTTGTTGTTTTTTTGCTTTTTTACTGGATTGCACAGCAAGAGTTCACGTCTTGTACTAATGTATGCTAAATATTTTCATAGTATAGAGACCATTATTGTTAAAAATAGCCGTAGTGAAGGCGTTTAGACCACAGAGCCCCAGTGGCCTACAGTTTGTTTGTTTTGACATTGTTAAACTCAGTCTGTTTATCTAACTGTGACTCTAATGACTACATTTGCATGGCAGAAAAGTTTGCTTGGTGGGTCGACTTTTATTAACAGTGTCTGCATGTTGTTTTCTGCTCTCGATGTTCCATGAGCAGACAGAGCACCTTCAGTTCCATTGAATAGTTATACACAATCAATAAGCCTCTGTGTTTGTCTTTGTTGTTTCTTTGATGTGGCCTCTAGGATGCTGCCGGCAAGGTGCTGGACCGCTGGGCCATCATGTCTCGAGAAGAGGAAATCATCACCCTTCAGCAGTTTCTGCGGTTTGGAGAAACCAAATCCATCGTAGAGCTGATGGCAATTCAGGAGAAAGAAGGGCAGGCCGTGGCCGTCCCATCTTCAAAGACAGACTCAGACATTAGGACTTTCATTGAAAGCAATAATCGCACCAGGAGCCCCAGCCTCCTTTCTCACCTAGAGAACAGCAACCCTTCCAGCATCCATCACTTCGAAAACATCCCCAACAGCCTTGCATTTCTGCTTCCATTCCAGTACATAAACCCAGTCTCGGCCCCGCTGCTAGGATTGCCTCCAAATGGGCTCCTGTTAGAGCAACCAGGACTGAGGCTGCGGGAACCCAGCCTGTCAACCCAGAATGAGTATAACGAGAGCAGCGAGTCTGAAGTATCCCCCACACCTTACAAGAACGATCAGACTCCCAATAGGAACGCCTTGACCAGCATCACTAACGTGGAGCCCAAAACCGAGCCAGCCTGCGTGTCCCCCATTCAGAATTCCGCCCCGGTCAGTGACCTGACCAAAACTGAACACCCTAAAAGCTCATTCCGGATCCACCGGATGAGAAGGATGGGGTCAGCCTCCAGGAAAGGAAGAGTGTTCTGTAACGCGTGTGGGAAGACGTTCTATGATAAAGGTACTCTCAAAATCCATTACAACGCGGTCCACCTGAAGATCAAACACCGGTGCACCATCGAAGGCTGCAACATGGTCTTCAGCTCCCTCCGAAGCCGCAATCGTCACAGTGCAAACCCTAACCCTCGCCTCCACATGCCTATGCTAAGAAATAACCGAGACAAAGACTTAATCCGAGCCACCTCGGGAGCTGCCACCCCTGTCATAGCGAGTACAAAGTCAAATCTCACACTCACCAGCCCCGGCCGGCCCCCGATGGGTTTTACCACTCCCCCACTCGACCCCGTCTTACAGAACCCTCTCCCCAGCCAGCTGGTGTTTTCCGGGCTAAAGACTGTCCAGCCAGTTCCTCCATTTTATAGAAGTTTACTCACTCCAGGAGAAATGGTTAGTCCTCCCACCTCCCTCCCGACCAGTCCCCTCATCCCAACCAGCGGTGCCCTGGAGCCGCACCCTGTGCCGCCCTCTGAGCCAGCAGCGCCAGTCGTGATGATGGCCACGCACGAGCCCAGTGCAGACCTACCCCCCAAGAAGAAGCCCAGGAAGTCCAGCATGCCCGTGAAGATCGAGAAGGAGATCATCGACACCGCAGATGAGTTTGATGATGAAGACGATGACCCCAATGACCCCGGAACCGTGGTCAATGACGTGAGCCATGACAATCATTGCCACTCCCAAGAGGAGATGAGCCCAGGCATGTCTGTGCAGGACTTTTCGAAGCACAGCAGGTCCCGGTGCATTTCAAGGACTGAAATCATTAGGGCTGACAGCATGACTTCCGAGGATCAGGAGCCTGAGCGGGACTATGAGAATGAGTCCGAGTCCTCCGAGCCCAAACTGGGCGAGGAGTCCATGGAAGGGGATGAGCACATGCACAGCGAGGTGAGCGAGAAGGTCCTGATGAGCAGCGAGAGGCCCGACGAGAACCACAGCGAGCCCTCCCACCAGGACCTCATCAAGGTGAAGGAAGAGTTTGCAGACCCCACTTACGATATGTTCTACATGAGCCAGTACGGACTATACAATGGTGGGGGAGCCGGCATGGCGGCCCTGCACGAGAGTTTTGCCTCCTCTCTGAATTACGGCAGCCCCCAGAAGTTCTCCCCGGAAGGCGACCTGTGTTCCAGCCCAGACCCCAAAATCTGTTACGTGTGCAAGAAGAGCTTCAAAAGCTCCTACAGCGTGAAGCTCCACTACAGGAACGTACACTTGAAAGAGATGCACGTCTGCACAGTGGCTGGCTGCAACGCTGCCTTCCCCTCTCGCCGGAGCAGAGACAGGTCAGTAAATCTCCATTGGCTGCTCCTGCTGTGGGGAGGGGGCCTGTCATTAAAAAAATCCAACTTAGATGTTTTGATGCACTGAGATTGTCCACAGTGACCACACGATAACCAAGCTGCCATGCTCATGAAGGATTGTTGCAGTTGGTGCTTGTTATGATTAAGCATGCAGAATCATGTGCCATCTTACCCAGTAATGCACGCCATTTTTCTCTGTGCTCTGTGTATGTGTGTGTGTGTATGTTTTTCCATGCATCTAGGTGTGTGAATATGTTAACCATGTCCACAGTTCCCTGCTTCCCCATGAACCTTCACATAGAAGCCTCAGCTTCTGTTATAAATATTTCTGCTTTGCCTTGTGGCTTTTTTTAAAAAAAATTAAATCAATATATTATCTTCATACACACATATTTATCCAATATAGAAACAGAAATTTACGGATGGAAAGAACCATAGGTCCAGGACATCGAGACAGCCTGCATCTCCGTAGGTATAACCAGAAATGTTATCATTCTTACATGAGTATTTAGTGTGTCCTTGAATTCTTTGAGTTCACAAAAGTATCAGAAGAAAATGGGATCAAAGTAATTGTTCATATGGGGAAATGGTGTGGTGATGTGGGGTTTCTTGATGTTAGCTTCCCAATGCCTTTGAGCACATCTCAAAAACACAGTCCGTCATGGGAATGATGCACACAGAAGGGGAGGCATGCATATACTTTTAGGAGCAGTTAGAATACATTATGTCCAGCCTTCAGATGACATCACACCTTAGCTATGTAGCTGCAGCTCTGAAACAGTTGGGCTTAAACAGAAGCAGCTGGTCCTAAACCTACAATGTTCTTTTTCAGCCCTAAAGAAAATGTAATATAAATGGAATGTGTCAAGGTGGTCAGTGGTGGGGAACCACAGTTACCCTGCCCTGGGGGAGATAAGCTTGTGAGCAGATCATTTACATAACACACCAGCCCAACCAGAGACACACCAGTTCATTCTCCCTATTCTATTGGATGTGGTTTTTTTGGTTTTACATTGTCTTTTCAAAATATTTTTAGAGAAAATTTTATTACATGCTCAAAGTCAATAGAGGTGGAAGAAACAAAATGAACCAGGAAGTTTGCAAGTAGCCACCACCCAAATGCTAGTGCTTATCGATTAGGTAGGATTCTCTGACAATATAACATATAATGCAAGTACCACTGAAAAGTAGTGACATGCTTTGGAATACTCTGTTTTGTCTTCATATTTTAAAGATTAGTCTTTTTTTTAAATAAGAGTTTAAAAAGTTTTATTTGTACTAAAGTACAGCTCAAGGGGTCCAATTCATGAAAAGCAAAATTTCTGGGAAAATGTGGCTTTCTTTCTATAACTCAAAACATGCTTTGAAGAGAAATCTATCTTCTTAAAGCTTTCTCCTCCCTCTCCCTTAGCCTCCACTCCTTTTTACCTTGTTCTGTAAAAAAAAAAAAAAAAAAAAAAAAAATGCTTTATGATCAAAAAGTTCTTTTCAGTTCCAGGGTATTGTAGACAGTCCCAGAATATGGTAGATAAGATAACTACAGTACTTTAAATAATAAAATATAATAGTATACCCAACTGCTTCCTCCCCAAGTTTCTAAGTAATGTTCATTCTTTTAAATTTGAAATAGAGCACTAGTGATAATGAGGTTAATGCATTGGATTCTTTTTTTTTTTTTAAACAAAAAATAAAAGACTCATGAAAACCTGCATAAAATATTTATGGAAATGGAGTGTTTGAAGACAAGCCAAAATTTAAGCCTATTTGCATGAATTCCTATCACTGTTTCAGTTGGCTTGCTGAAAATATTGCAAGTCATAACACTGGAATAAAATGACTGGGTCCAAAAGGCTACAACACCCAAAATGTGGTGCTTTCCTTTATGTTACTGTTTTTTATGTCCTGATGGATAAGGAGGTACTGTTGAAAAGGTGGTTTGTCTGAGGAAAAAGCATTTATTGATAGGGGAATGTTTCAATCTCCAATTTTATTCTAAGGATTGGGAGCTTGCCAAGTGACCAGCCTTATGGAAACACTAGCGGCCTGTGCATGAAATTCTTGCAGTTGTGGTGGAGGGGGATCCCTCAGCCTGGCCTGCACCCTCTTATAGTCCATGAGCCCTTGGGGGATGTCCCACTGCCAGGGCTTAGACCTGCCCTCCTCCCCCTTCCCCCCGGGGATCGGGCCTAAACCAGCAGTCGGACATCCTTAGTGCTGCCACAAGGGCAGGAAAGGATCCAACCACCGCCACTGCACTCACCAGCCGTGAGCCCAGCTTCTGGCTGAGCAGTGCTCCCCCTGTGGAAGTGCACTGAACACCAGGGGGGCAGCTCCTGCATTGGGCGTCTGCCCACTCATGGTCAATGCGTGTCATAGCCACTTTTCATTCTGCCTTTTAGTCAATTTGCATATTAGCCTTTTGTTATATAGGATAGGTCAGTGTCTAGGATAACTAGTAGATTGTAGGTGGGGAAACAGTACTGATATTCTCCCAGGTGTGTTGAGTCATACAGGAGATGGCAAGCCTTACAAGACGTGGGATACATTTCATTTGGCTGAAATACCCCATCACACCTAATCTTTTAAATTCTGGATATTGACCCATGAAGAAAATTGAAAAAATAAATACTGTACAAAGAAAGTTTGATTTTCACTTGAAATTTTGCTTTTCAAGAATATTCAAATATTGTAATCCCTGATTAAAAGCTTAAAAAAAAATTAGTACTTTAATTTTGACTTTTTTTTTTTTTGCTAAGAAGAAATGTGTTCATTCCTCTTGAATCTATGACTTGAAATAATATTCAATGCAAATATATTTACTACCAAATATCCACAAACAGTGACGTCTTTTGGAAACCAGCCTCCTCCTGCATCTCAGCAGATTGGACTCAAACATAATTGTGTCCCCATTTCATTCAGCCTTTTATCACCATTTTGTCAGCTAATATTGACCTGTAATTTAATCTTATTCACAGATCCTCTTGAATCACATCTCTGATCTACCCGTTTAGACTCACCTTCCCCTTCTCTTCACTTTTCCCGAGTTAGTCACGAGAACCCCAGGAATTTTGTGTTCCTGCTTTTTCCTCTGCAATGAAGCCAAGACAAGTTTTCTTTTCTTTTCTTTGAGCCAAGACCTTCCCAAACAGAAACCATCCTTTGCCTTTAATCCTGCTGTCCTCGGGCCCATTTCTCTCCTCTCCCCAGAGTCTCGATTCATCCACCCTTGACTGCACAATGTCTTCCTTGTGCAAATAAAGCATTAGAGGGGATTTGGACTGGGGGCTGAAGTACGCAAGGCTACAGGGCTTCTAGGACGCCTGTGATAAAAGGAACAGAATAACCCCTTCCCTTCTGTTCATGAAAGCAGCCTTCTTGTCTTTGGGCTCAGAACACCTTGTAGGAGCAGCATACACGCCTTCTTGGGCTTCTTCCAAGAAGGTTATACACGAGGGAGGTGTATTTTTGTCTCTAGATGGCATGTTAGTAAGATGAAAGTAAAAAGATGTTAAATACTGTGTTTTAAATTTGGCAGCTAGTTAGCAGAGATTTCCAAATCTTTGCTTATGGTCTTTCTAGATTTTATACGATCAAGTTGAAGGCTTTTTGATAAGCAAGAATGTTCATTCTCTAAAGTCAGGAAAAAAGGAAGGAGAGTGGTTCACACACAGGTTAGCAATGGCTGAGGATTCTAAGCCTCCTTCTTGACACTGTTGTGGATGAGTGTGAGTTTGCAAAATTCCAAAAGCAGAGAGCACCACCATTCCACACTAATGACAAAGAGCAAGCTAGTAAACACAAAAGCCCATCTATTCTATTGGTAGGTGGCTGTTAGAATAATATAAATTATTTTCTCTAAAGAACTATGATACCATAAGATGACATTATTATGTAGTGTTAGTCCTGAAAGACTCTAAACTCCCTTCTTTCCTTCTTGTTTACCTCATGATCTTTCTGCTATTAAGATGCTGTCCTGTCAGGGAACAGGAGGTTGGCCCCCAGTTTGAAACAACACACATGAAATACTCCCTGAGAAGAAGTAATGATAACTAACTGTCCTAGAATCTACAGTCCCCATAAGAGAAAATTTCTGGAGGACATTGTCATAAAGTTAGCTGGTTTGCCTTTGGTCACATTCTCATCCTGTCTTGGATTTTGACCCCTGGGAGGGCTGAGTGGCCATGGATCACCTATATTTAAGAGAAGCCCATTTGCAAATGCCAAATGACTTTTATTCAGAAAATACATAAACACCCTCTGTCCTCTTCCCCAAAATTTCTTATCACTTGCTAATATGTTAAAATCTGTGAACATCTGCTTGAGTGATTGGCAATTTTAAAACTCCCTCATCTGAAAGGAAGACTTTTTCTACAGATGATTTGCATAGTAAGATGTATATGTCTCTTTGTTTTTCATAGTAAGAGGACTTTCATCTTCTTTATCCTCTCTTCCTCTGAGAATAGTGGCCACTGATTGCCAAAGTTTGTCTTATATTTTATCAGAAAGGTGAAATGTACATGTTTGGTCTTCAAGGTGTAGGAAAGGTGATTTTGCTCCATGAATAAATTTAAAAACAAAATAATATTTGCTTTGGGTGATTTATAAATAAATATGAGCAGCCGTTGGTACCAAGTGCAAACCTTCCCTTTGATTGCTAGTTAAATCCATCCAGATTTAAACATGTAAACTTCTTGATTTATATGGAGTAGGACATCTGTATTTGGTTTATTAAAATGTGCTGATGTCTCCAGAACTAAATTTGTTCATGTGCAGGCCTCTGGGTAGCTGTAGCTAAAAAGCAGAGATGTATAGTTTTTGCTTGCCTTATTACCTGACTTCCAGCCCTGTACAGGTGTGCAGGAATAAATTAACATGAGCTACCTCTGAAGAGCCACTGCATAGATTAACAACAGAGGTGAAGATGCGAAAACATGCTACCTGCCTCCTGTTATCACCTTCTCAGCAGCAGCATCCATTTTTCC